AGTCGATCTTTATCCCCATACTTACCTACGGTCATGAATCATGGACCATCACTGAAAAACTTCGAACCCGTATAACAAGCTGCTGAAATGGGCTTTCTTAGACGTTGCTGCGCTTTGGCGTCTCGACATGGTCCGGAATACTGACCTCCAGGAAAGCCTTGGGGCACAGTCTCTGGTTGTCCGGATTGAGAAGTCAGAGCTGCGATGGTTTGGGTATGTGTTGCGAATGCCCCCAGAAAGGAAAACTAAGAGTCTGTTTTTTACGAAAACGACCGACAGAAGGCCCAGCTGACGACCAAGATTAAACTGGTGCGTATATATAGAAGTATGTTCCAAACTCCAGTTGTCTTCCTCTGCAGCTCAGACTCTGGCGCAGTATCGAGAACGTTAGAAGCGGTGTCTTCCCATCTACTTTCGTGATCGAAAAACATCGTACTGGTCATTAAAGTTGAAATTATGTTTTTCTGTTAACAATTGCTCCCAATATGTGTGGCAAGTTGATCTATTTTACGCGAAAAATTGATTCCACGCTAAGAAAATCCGCTGCCTTTGAAAACCAGTGGTCCCTTTGACTCTTCTCTATGTAGACTTTTCAGTTGTGTGCGATTCTGAATGGCAATTAGTTTAGAACACCAAGTTCAGGCGAAAGTGACTTCCTGACCATCATGTCGGTCTAACGCACTTTTTGTTCAAGTTCACGCATGCTGTTATTCTTTATGTACTACATATTCAACATCGTTAAGTTGTGCATATTGCGTGACAACGACGTAAGACTAGCGCATCGGCAAAATTACGTTGATTTGGCCGAACTAGCCAATATGAAGCTGGTGAAGGGAATAATTGAAACTGTTGTTTGATCTGAACGATTGACCAAGGTTAGAAAGATTTTAGTACGTTCCATTTAGTTCGATTAGCTTCCTGATCGATGAGAATCACCAAAATTTCTCACCTTTATTGGAGATAAATCAAGGCACCAACATAAGATGGTTACGATGTTTTGCAAACAAAGTGTTAAAACTCCAGGTTCAAACTAATGAACATGTCGAAATCTCTGTTAACAGTTAATTTTCTGAAGCAAAAAATTCATTATTATACACTTCCTATGAAAGGGAAACGGCGACCCGTGAAAAGTTAGATAATGTGGTTCCACTGCCTTGTCATGTTTAAATTTCTCAGGCTTACGGTATTACTGTTCGACTCGCGCCCTTCGATCAGTGAACTTCGATCTATGCAGCTGAAGTCGTCGTCCGATCAGAAATAAAGCTCGATTCATTGTCAGACAAATATAGTGCAAAGTGTTTGCTGAAGCCCTTCAGTATGGGCATCATCGATGCTACTGTTCATTCAGAGAGCTTATTATCCGACGCTGATATCCGTTTCCATCTAAGTTCCGACGCTGTACCTATCTAAGCGTGCATTCTTTATGAAATAATATATGCAGTCATATGACAGACTTATAGTTTACTTTTCATACCGTAAAGTAGTACTCCTATATTTATTTATGTTTCAGCTGACGAAAGGCGAGTAATTCACGGAAATTTAAGCCTGCGAAGTTTCAGTTGCGTGCCATTAAGCTAAGAAAAAATTCCAAAACCGTCTTCTTCATGAACCCATGGCCGAATGCTTACATTTTATTGCAATCAAAACAATGTTAATGAAGAATTCAAATACAATTTCTGTAAACTCACAAGTAATGAATTGTTCGTACTCGAAGTCAGCCCTAGAAGGCTCTCTAAAACTCATTTTATAGATCATAGCAGCCGTAACGGCTTCTCAGGAAGCCTGTAGCGGTCAGCTAGCAAAGTTGTAACAGCCATTGTTAATCTGCTTTTAA